GACAGCTCACGGCTAGCGACGCAGGTCAGGCTAGCAGGTCTGGCTAGCTGTGGACTGCCATTATGGCTGCACTGGAAGGGTGCTAGGGTAAATCACCTGCTCTGAGCTCGCTTCTGCCATGGGCACACTGCTACCACTTCCAGAAACAGCCAGTTTAAAACCAGTTTGCATAACTCTACAGTACATTCCTTTCCAGAGGCGCAGTACGTGTACCTTTAGAAACAGCGATAGGTAGGAACCTGCTCAACTCTCAAAATTCAGGCAGCCAATTTTATGGGAAGGTGGTTGTACCAAGTAGCATAGCAATTCTTGTCATTCCTATGACAGCAAGAGACTTCTGCCCAGCGGCGTGCAGCCTCCCTGACCAGTCCTGCTTGTATTTGAACAGTTACTACAATATATTCTTAAAAATTCTTTGAGTATTTTCTAGTCATGAAAAATTAGCTGACACCACTCCAGAGCACTGAACTCCATTGGACATCTCCTGTTTTTTTGGTACCACTTTCTCCTGTGTAACTATCTGTCCCCCATCCTCGCACTGAAGGTGGACGGAAGGTGCCTAACCCATCAGTCCTTGGGGCCTTTGCCAAGGTGACAGAAAACCAAGGCCTCAGTAGCGACCGAGCACAGCTGTGATGAGTAGAAGGGTGTAAAACCACTACACCCATTTGTTACAAGGGAATCAAACTGGTTTTTCATGAGGTGTCATTACAAAGCACTGCCAAAATGCCAGACCTCACCTTCCTAATAGCAGGTAGCAGAACAGAATCGTATATCTTTGACTACCGAGCGCTAGAATAGAATAATCTCACCCATGGTCATGAAGCCACACCTGCACAGGAGGTCAGGAGCTCTCCGTGCCGGGACAAAATGATCTCGTCAGCAAACGCAGGGCAAAAGAGAGGCTGTGGCGAAGTGCCAGCCTGATGGCATTTCTAAGACAGTAAAACAACATCTGCAATCTGGCAACCGAAACACCTCAAACACGCTCTGTTGCAAGTAGGGAGATGCCTATTTATTTCTCATCACCAGCTCAGCAAGCTTCCTCCGGGCTCTGAGGCAAACAAGTTGCTTTCCTTCTCCCATAATAAGGACCAAGTTGCACCATCACTTTACATCTGCGGACCTGGCACTCTCCAAAGGCTTGCACAACCATTAGCGAAACTTGGTAAACAATCCTCTCAAGAAGCAGAGTCCAGCCCACTCACGCCGTGTTTGGCTCTGCGGTGCTAAAAGGTGTGGAAACTCACACTAGTGCTTGCTGATCACTGGCACCAGCAGATTTGAATAACATACGCGAGGATCTACTGAGTCCAAAGGTACCCCTCTCACAGCTTCACAAAAGGCTGCACTTGAGCACTGTCATGCCCCGTAGGTCCCAGTATTTATAAGCCGCTGAAGGGACTGAGCTTCCACAGTGGTAATGACATGCTTGCGTGACGCAAACGTTATCCTCCGCCTGAAACCTCCCACATACCCACCTCAGCCTTGGCTTAAGTTAGCCTCCATACCTTTTCGCTCACTGGACATGCAAGATAATTTCTGACCTGCTTTTTCATCAATTGCTCTGCCTACCTGTTTCAAGTAATTACAACCAAGCCACCCTTTCTCCTTTTTGGCACTGAGGTGTGCCTGGACAAGAGCTTCCCCCCACTCGAAGGGCAAGACTGAAAGGTGTCTCTTAGACTGTAACACTCCCCCTGTGCAGACGTCCCCTTTGCGATCTCTCTGTAAGAGGGGAAATGGGGTTCTGGGTTACCTTAACTCCATTCTTTCCCTCCCTCTCCTTTCGCTAGGGTAAGCGACAGAAGCTATCTCCTTTATCTCTCCCACTAGTTGTTAAACCAAAAACAGTCTCAGGTCAGCAAAATCAGGAGCTGCAGCAAGAAAAAGCCAGGAAAGCAAAGTCAGAGAGATAAGAAGTTTGACAAGCGTGCTCTAGAAAGTCTTTGAAGTCTTTAGCAGCTCCTTCTGAGCATTACTAAGAACAGACTGCAACTGCACTTGACCCTAGATATTTGGAAGGAAATCTTGATAATGGCAGTTTTGCTCTGTAGCCTCCTGCTTGGTGACGCACACACGACACAGGTTGCGAAGAGGTGGCATGACAAATAAATCACAGCGGGAAAGTACAGAAGGATCTCACTGGCTTGCCCAGAAAACACAAGATGGGACTTATGCAGGTGCTGATTAGGATGAGAAAATGAGTTGAGAGGAGGCGGCTTGATCAGGGACAGAAGCGGCTATGGATAAAGCGGCGCTCCTCCTCCATCGTGGCCAGGGGTACAGGCGCAGCACCATCAGGCTCCACCACAGAAACAATGCCTGCGCCCTTGTTTTGGAAAACAGAAGCTAGTCAGCCTGCCAGAAGAAATGCTGGGAACTGACCTAATTATATAGGGAGTACCAAGTCAAACCAACTTCAGCATGATGCAATGCTTCTTTCCATGCCCAGCTCTGGGAAACTACTCGCCCCCATACATGCAAACCTCTGGTTTACCCTTCTTCTATTAACCAGACACGTGAGGGAAACCATATTGCCTGCTGCTTTTTATCCAGCAGACTTGAACTTCCAGTGCCTCTTGTTTCTGTAGCGCTTTCTGCTTGTTACCTTCACCTCTTACCTTGACAGTCCTCCACAGACATGGGGAGATGAGTAACCCTCCGGTGGAACTGTGTCCAGGGACTGAGAGACAGCATTTTTGGGGACTGATTGAAACTGCAAGGCAGATCTAGCTGGGAAATGCCATCTAGAGGCCAAAACGTGCTTTGACCTATTTTTTTATGTTTGACTTCCAAGTAATGGTAGCGCTTGCTCCTTTCACTTCAGTACAATCCTATTCTCTCGCCACCTCTCTGTGCGAGGGCAGTGTTATCCCGGCTTTGCCGACAAGGGGCTGAAGTTCTCTGCTGTGCTGCACCATGAGTCCCAAAAGCTGTACCACCTCTTCTGTGCAGCACTGAACTAGAAGACGCCGTCCCTCGGGGCTTTCTGTACTTACCAGCTCGGGTTTAGCAGCTACCTCTGCTGCACAGAGCAGAGGTGCGTCTGAATTGTCCATTTTCACAAAAGGCCATTCTTCTAATAACGAGCTACGAGTTTACTGTCCGTCAACTACATTACAAAAACTAGAAGTGGGCCCAGCTTTATGGAAAGGAGCAAGGAACAAACGTACTCCAGTCCCTCCTCATCCCTTACAGCAGGCGAGATGCCTCGCCTTTTACAAAGCCTTGGGAATAAAGCCATGTCTCTCAGCTAGGTGTGGTTTCGCCATATGAGTGTTCTTTTTATATGTCACAATTTATTTTTTTTTATACAGGTGGGGCACTGGTACACACTTACAGAAAGAGTGAGGGAAGAAAGGATCTTTCCATTAGCACTGACTTAGTGCCGGCACACTGATGCATCGCATGGAGGCGAACACAGCTTAGGTCTTTGAAAGCAGCATCTGTCTCCCACTGAAATGGGATGTGGGATGACACAAGCAGATTCCAGAAAACCTAGGAACCACAGGGCTTTTTTTGGAACAACATGCTGCTGAAGAATTGCACTCTAGAATTCAAGCTTTAAATATTTAACCCTACAGGCTGAAGGGGAAAAAAAAAAAAAAAAAAAAAAGAGCCCAAGGTGGCTGATGGGTGCAAACCAGAACTGTGTGAACTGGCCCAAGCAACTGGCCAGCATTTATTTCAAGATCAAGCAAGGCAAAGGTTGGTAGAACTAGCTAGCTGTTAAAGCAGCAAATAAAAATTTCCAGAAAAAAAAGCCCAACATAAAACTCTCCAGAAAATAACCAGAAGTTAAAATAAAACTAATTTCTAAGCAGCGTATCGAGCTCCCAGATGAGGTTAAGGCTCACTGAGTGAAGCACTTCCCATACTTCTGAAATGTGAAACACCAAAACTCCTGGGGAGCCAGGAACGGGCACGGAGGGAAGTTCCAACTCTAACCTAAGCTCTTCATTTAAAAACAAAACAGAACTGAAGCACTTCAAAAGATTATAGGGTAAAGTACGCTTATTATAATGGTCAAACCAAACAGCGTGGTGAACATAGCATTATCATAACCATTTTCTTGTGGAAAAGAGCTTTTTTCATGTATGAAGTGGTCAAAGCACCAAAAATCACCATTACCAGCAATAACATGTCAGACAAGATGAGAGCTTTGTGCAGCAGGATCTTCCAGCCCATGTAGTTCCCTCGGGAAGTGAGCGAGCTATGGCAAAATAGTATGTGCTGTCTGACAACAGCCACAGCAAAGATTTCTTCCCCCACAAAGGGAATGATTAAAATCCCGTTTATGCTGAGATGTTCAGAACGGGATCTGCCCTTTCAAAGATGGAACACAAAATTAGGAAGTCACCTCTTCTTGATTTATTTGGGTTATTTTTGAATAGAAATAGGCTCCTGCAGAAATAAAGGCACACGCTTCCTTACAAAGAGAGGCCTAGCATGCCTTTTCTCAGGTCTCCTTCTGATGCCTCAGTAAGAAGCCAAATCACCCACCAATAACAAAATCGGCTTCAGTGATTTAAGAGACGGTGGCAGGACTCCCTTTTGGCATGACTCTCTCTTTCATTGCTCTGGTATAGAAAAAAGCCAAACCACAGAGAGGAAGCAGTCGTGAGGAGTATTTCATTAACCGGTCTGCAGCTATGAGAAGAGGCGGCTGTTATCACCAGAGCAACACAACAGAGGACAAGGGTGGAGAGAGAAGACGAAGGAATGCTGATGTGCTGGGCTGGGATTGAAGAGGGCACAGCAGGATGTTTATTCATAGTCCATAGGATTCAGCAGCTGTTTCAAAACAAGAAGTCACATCAAAGAAAAGAACTGTTAGCACAGCTCCTACATGAGGTTTTTTTTCAACCCAGATAAAGCCGCCTTGATAATGGTGAGGAGGAGGAGGGACTTCAGGAAAACTCCCTGTTCCAGAGAATGAGTGAAATTTGCTTCAGTGTTCATGTTAAGATGTCAAAGCAATTATGAAAATCGAGTAGAAAAAAAGTCCACCTAGGAGCTCTCAGGCCTTAGCCCGGCGTAGGTGGGGGTAGCTCTGCAGAGTCCTGTCTATCGCTTCAGCCAAGCTCACCACCGGTTTGTAGCCCATGTCTCTTTTGGCCCGTTCACAGCTATAGTAGTGAAACGTTCCAGCTAGCGCTACCCGCATAGGGGTAAAGGTGGGCTTGATGGTGACCAGTGGACTTAGCAGCCACAGCACTAGAGACAGGAGCAGGGCCAGGTAATACGCCAGCCAATAGGGAATATGGTACTTGGGAGGATCGTAGTTCAAGCCAGTCAAGATACGGGACATGAAAGCCCAGAAGGGAACTGGTTCATCGTTTGTGATATGAAATGCCTGAAAGAGAGGAAGACAAAAAGCCAGATGATAAAATCATTACAGTTTTCACAAATTTGTCTCTGTGATGGCCCACTTCACGTTCATGCTGAGGAGGCTGACATCCCTGATTGACTGCAAACAGTTTCCTGAGAAACTGCTTTGCACTAACCACCTCTGGCTGAAAAGCGATGAGCCCCTCCTTTGCTAAGAAAGCCAGCTACTTCTGACACTCCAGAGGCTGAGATGACACATAAATGGTCAAACAAACTGAATGACGCAACACAACGCAACACAAACACATTAAATCATCCTAGCTGTACGTACAGTGCATGCCCAGAGCATGCCGGTGCCGTGAAAACCTATAGAAGTTTTTCCTGTTCTGAACTCTATCGTAAAAGCTAAATAACTATGTTTCTTACGTACGCATCTTGGCTGCCCGCAGTTCTGCCTGGATTTCCTTTCACAAGGGGTTTTCTAGCATGAAGTTAAAGTACATTCATACATCTTAGCCCACGCGGTTGCACACAATGGTCACCAGATGGGCAACCACTCGTTATACCCACAGACAGAGAAAAGTTGACCCGTCTGCGTGTGCTAGTTCCACTCATCTCCAAGATGTTCCCTACAGACAAAAATCAGCATGCACTACAAAGCAGACCCGTGCAGCCAAGCAAGGCTTGCAGACGATGTTCGGCTAGGGGACACCCACTCCCTCCCCTCGCCAGGTCCTTCCTTACCTTCCCACACAGGGGAGAGTCTTTCTGAAGGTTTTCTGCAGCTAGGATGTGTCCATGGACCACGTTTTCCACATAGGTGAAGTCTACCAAGTTCTTTCCATCCCTGCACAGACAAAAGGAAGAAGAGGCAAGTTAGGCTGAAAAATCTGCTTGTGGCAAAGGGAAGGACTTTCAGACAAGATATATTTATCCCAAGTTTCTTCTTCTCCCGCTCTCTTGTGCTGCAACTTCAGGCTATACCCTGTCAGAGAGATGAAATCGCTACATATGATTTTGGAGACAGAGGAAAGGCTGTTATTGTCTCAGGTCTTGTCAAGGCCCTCAAAGTTTACATTCCTCTAACAGTACCATTTTTAAACCTCACAAGTTACCAAGTTTCTAGGTGTTGCAGACCCTACACGTCTCAGAATCAGCAGAGTGATCCACAGAAGCAGAACGAACAGAGTGGTAACTAGCACAAAGAAAGTCACTTGAGGACAAGCTTTCAATTACGAATTTCTTGGCTCATGAAATTCTAACTTACTCCCTCAAGAAGCCAACTTCAGCCCTCGCTGAAACAGATTTAACCCACTGTGTTAAATCTATTTCTACACAGGTACAGAAAATGAAAATTAATCTGCCTATCGCTTTCAAGAGTCCAGCTAAATCAAACAAATGGTTTGTTGCAAAACCATCACCACGCTCATTTGGCCACAAAACCAATATTGCTGCAATCCAACACTCTGGGAAAGAATCATTTTCATTTCCTGCGCTGGTGGATGAATGGCTATTCTATTGGCTTTCTTGGAAGGGATATACAGGTGTGTATAGCGGTAGGGAAACCCAAACGGGGAATGCATGTTTGAGTCGGAAGAGAATGCAGACTTGCACAAAGTGGAAGCCTTGAGTTGGCGTAGGCTTGCTGCTCACAGATCGGTTTGAGAGATCAATTCAGAAGTGAACTGTAAGGAAGAATAAGAACAAAAAAACCCCCAACACCAAAAAACCCACAACCCTATTCCCTTTCTTCCTCGGCCCCAAGCACATATTCACATGTGCGCATATAGACACAAACCAGCTCCTTGCATGTAATAAAAACCTATTATAAATTAAAGAGCACATTTCTTTTCAAGAGCGTAATACAATCGATAATAATATCCTTGCTAGTAGCTTGAACCATTTCTTGCTCTAAAATTTCAGTGGTCCACTAGAAACTCTGCAAGGCTCAATAACAAGGCAAATATCTTTCACCTTATAATCAGAAATATTAAAACGCTGCCATATAGGCTTTTTAATTGCAAGAACCTCAAATACCAGAAGTGGGTATTAATTAAATTAACAGCAAGTAATCTCAGCTCTCTCATATTTAAAAGGACAGCTCTTTAGACAATGCAAAGACAGCTTTCCCCACTGATATTCTTTGCATCATGAACACTTACCGTCTGAGTGCATGAGTCCCTAACACAGAAGGGTTTTTAAAAAAAGAGTCCTGGATCACAAGTGAAAAATTAAAGAAACGTACTTTTTTCCATGCCACAACACCACTACTGATTTAATATTATTCCCTTCCAAAAGGGCTTTGTAGGTTCAGCATCGATTTTAACAAAAGCTATAAAATGACTGAGCCTTGCTCACCCAATTATGAACTTCATTTTGCCGCTCTTAGCTGCTTGGATGAGGATGGGCACCAGCTGAGGGTCTCTAGGACCAAATATTCCATGGGGACGAATAGCAGTAGTGAAGAAGTTGTTGCCTGGGTCATTTGCACTGAGCATGCCAAATCAGGAGGGAAAGGCTGGGAAGAAAAATATGGCTTCGTAATATATTCCAGGATTATCACTAAAGGGGGTGGGGGTTCCCCCATCTCCTTGGGAAGACATCAGTGGAGGAACTACTGCCCACCCGTATCTTTACAAATGATCCTTCCTTTCTTCCCATCTCTTCTCCCACTTCTCTTTAATGAGAAAAACAGACAAAAATCTGTTTTCATTATTGAACCTCAGTGAATTGACAGGCAAAGGAAAGGAACGCTTTGCCTCTCTCATTTAACACCATAGAAACCGGAGGAGCTTTGAAAGTTCCTTCACTCCACGAATTCTTTATGGACACGTTGGAGAAAAGGACACTGAGCAGTTCAGTCTCTGTCTCTCCCATCAGTCAGTGGAAGATTTCCATCACGGGCCTTCTCAATCGCATTCGGAAGGGGCGTGATCCCATTTTCCCAGCAGCACCAAGCGCTAAGCAGGTTCAGCAAGGCATCTTTGAAGAAGAGTTAATTCTACTGGGAGCTTCCAAACAACGTGTTCTACTAATTTTTAACAGCTGCTGGATTTTCCATTAAAAATCCAAGGACAACGCATACAAATAAACACTGAATACTGTCACTGTTTCATCCAAAACAAAGACGTAGTTACAAGCATATTGGGCTAGACTTGATCGCTACTCATAAGCTTCCACTTTAGTAGTCCACTTTACTGCGAAGTGGTTAGGCTTGCAAGCGAACAGATATTTTTATGCTGCGTTTGCAATTAAGCTCTTTTCAAGGAACCTAAGCAAAATTTTTAAAGGCTGATACTCGACTTTAGAGGACACACTGTCAGCTTCGGTATGGAAGCAAGGCTAAATTCTTCTTGCACAAAAAGCGTAGATTGTTTCCACGACTGAAAGGCAAGCCACTGAAAAAAGTTTGAAAAAATGTTTGTTCGCTTTGATTTAAATCATTGTCATACCGTATTTAAACCACAAATACTGCAGCGTTAAGAACCTGAAACAGAAGAGATACTGGTGACCTGCAAATGTCCCAAGTAGTGGACGTTCAGATGCAGGGGGAAATTTTAGACCTTTTTTAACAAGAGTATTTTCAGCATATGGCCAATAGCATTAGCTTACAGCATGTTACTAGCCTGGCACGCTCCTTAACTCAGTCCACATCTCATCTTCTCCTTCCCCAGTGCCTTGTTCACAGTCCCAACTGTAACTTCAGGCTGCAAATCAGGCAAACGTGGTTCTGAAACAGCCTTCCAGTAGGAGCAGAGAAGGGAAAAAACTCCCCTCAGCTGCTCTTAAAACAAAGCTGGATCAGTTAAGAAATGGGATTATCACACAGCTCTTGCAATGAAAGCAACATCTCTGCCAGTTCTTTTATTCTTTCTCTAGAAACAACCCCTGTGGTGTATCACGCTATTTCATGCAACTTCCCTGGTAATTTACGGCACAGTGTGATTTTATTCTCTTTTTATTAAGTGAACACACTACTCCGGAGTTTCACCAGCCAAGGAAGACGTAACTGAGCAGTTATGAATGTGGACTGCTGGACAGCTGCTAGGGAAGCAGCCCCTGCCCAAGCCATCAGCATGCCGAGGGAAAAGGGCGCGGGTCGCTTGTGAAAGAGGCGAGCAGCAGCCCCCTGCCATACTTCTCTGTAACAGAACAAATGAGTCCACAGCTCGCTACCCTCCATGCTGAGAATCGGGGGCTAAAATCTGACAGATTTGTCTAAAAGAAGGGACTTTTCTATTTCAGTTACACTCGGAAAACTCTGGCAGGCATTGCTACGTATGCATGCTTCTGCGCAGATTTTCTTTGCAGCTGTAAGAACGAGATACTTCTTTTTAACGAAAGAAATTCTGGAGAACAACAGAGATCTGTTCAGTCTTGACGAGTCTGTTGTGTCCCCTAGGGCATGCCCTACTTTTAGAAGGGCAGTTTTAAGCATCGAAAATAACAACGTTAACGATATGATGACAAATACCTTCTCCTGTAGGATCTTCGTCTCTGTGTAATAGTCGATGGGTTTTTTGGCATAAGGGAGGTCTTCTGATCCATTTTTTATGTCTGTGCCCTCAAAAACTACACTGGCACTGCTCGTTAATACCAGTTTCTGCAACAGACGTGAAAGAAAACAGTTGTTTAAAGCCTAAGACAAAAGGGTCATTATTTACGAAGGCTGAGTAAAGACAATATTAATGTTTAATCGACTGATTCTACAGATAATAAACTAAGTCTAGAAGAACATGGGCTAACAGAAGATGATCTGAAACTGCAGGTAAGAAAACTCTCCCTCTTTTAATTGACTCTGTCACATTGTTTAGTGCTACCTAAAGGAGATTAAAACATTTCAAGTAACATCCAAGGCAGCCAGTCAAGGGGAAAACATCTCTAGGAAAATCAGAGTGCCACTTGGCTTGGCACATTTTGGCACTTAACACTCGGTGAGTGTTTTTAAGATATATTTGCTCATCTTGATGATAACAATATCACAGTAGATTAAATCAAAAAAGAATTCTTATCTTGGATGTTTTTATTGGATAAAAACGTACCCTAGTGGATTCAAAGCAGAAAGTCAGCAATGTATTGGAGTAATCAGAAACACGTGGTTTTAAAACAAGATCTACATTAGAATAGAAAGATGACTAGATCCAACAAGTTCCAACAAGACTTGATTCCTTGATCCGACAGAATCCAGACTGGGCCTGAAGGGAAACACTGCGTGGCCCATTTCCTACAACACCTAAGCACACGGGGCGGGGCGGGGCGGGGGGGGGCGGAATCCAACAGACAACAAACTGTGGGACTAGGAATCCTATGTGATAGACATCATTTAATTCTAAACATTGTCACTGCTGTGTTTGTACATGGACGCTGCACAAAATGCATGCTTTGGAGGCGACATCTCTGCCCAAAATAAGTAAGGGATCTTCACATGCGTTGTGCTTGAAAATTTGCTAAGAATTTAAATGAAAACTCATGTGGTATCTAATAACATAAGGAAAAAAAAACACAACAAAACAAAAAACTTGTCTGAACAGCAGCCTGGTTTCCTCTGTTGCTTTCTCTTGTGGGCAAATGACTTTCTAAACCAAATTATACTGAGGTTATGGCACAAGTGCATTCCTTCTCATTATATCTCAAAGAATTCACATAGGTAAGAGGTGCCGTGAATACTTTCACTGCTGGAAAAGCTATCTTCAGAGCTGTCCCCTTATTAAAGCATGAAAGAATCCACTTGTCAGTCGTGGTTCTCCCGTGGGTGATTCCCAGACGTCTAGCAGAACAAATTTTAATGGATGCTTTTCCTGCAGTCAGGAAGATTGCAATGTGTAGGTTTTCTGTGGCAAACATGGCCTGAGCTTACACCAGACACTAAAGGGGAGACCAACAGAGTCTTTCTCTTCTACTAATTTTCACAGAACAAGTAGGACTGCAGTACCTCAGAGACCTTTGCCCCTCTATCAAACAAGACTGAAATCGGTCCATGCTGCAATTGTTATAAAGTCACATCAGCGTCTTATAGTCTCCATCTGCTTTTCTGCCCTTACCTGCACTCCAGCTTCTTTGCAGGCTTCAATGACTGCTTTGGTTCCCATAAAATTCACCTTATAAAACAGTTCCCTGTTGTCACTTGAAGGTGCTGGTGATGCACAATGAAATGCCACTGACACACCTTGTAAAGCTGGGAGCAAAGCCTAGAAGATACAGCACATGAGACAGCAATGAAGCAACAGCAGGAGTGCCTACTCAGAAAAGAAATAAAAAAAGGGAAGGAAATAAAACACAGTTCTTTTTCTCATGGAAATAAAACCGCTAAATTACAAGTCATGTTCCTCCCATAAAGGTGAGCAGCTGGAATAGGATTAGCATCCAGGATCTTCACAGTCTTCTCTCCTTCTTGCTAGGCAAAAAACCCACTACATCATCTTTAATTTCCAGAGAAGAACCTGGGAACTTTCCGAGACCTGCAGGCTATCTAGACTTAACTACTTGCAATAGTCTCAAGTGCAGGTATGAGACTGAAAATGACCTGGAGACAGGAGTTAGAAAACTCAGCAAGCAGCAGGTCTAACAGCCAGCAGCACCCCATGGCACTGTCTGTGTTTGAGATCGCTGTCCTAAAGCTCTGAGACGTGATACGTTACACCGGTGGGGAGAGGTCTCTTCGCATTGCATACAAACGTTTTTGCCAAGGCTCACACACGTGACCGAGTTAAGGCAAGAGGCCTTAGCCTGCCTTAACTGTTAGGAATAACGCATCCTGCCGATCTCATGCAGCTGAGGTTAGCTAGGAGAGCACCCACATGCAATTACCAACGGTGACTGTAATTAGACTGCGTATCTAAGCTAACAGTAATGCAAATCATAATACAGAAACAAGTTCTGTTCTTTTCAGCTTCAAGATGACGTCAAGTATATTTCTTTAAATGTTCTAGATGAGGGTTCCACACAAAACTGCTCAGGCTACCGACTTCCCAGGGCAAGGTTGGGGGGCATATCTACATACGCTTTTACAACCCGTGCAATGCCTTCGGGTGTTTTAGTGCTTCAGGCAAGGCTCGGTAAGCTGTTTGAGCAAACATTTATTTAAACAGACATCCTTTCTATCTACCCATGTCGTGTACTGTTGTTAGTCTGTACCTCTTTGTCGCAGAGGTCTCCCAGGAAGAACTGCACTCTGTCGTTGTCAAATCTCTTCTGAATATCAAACACATTGACGGCGTAGCCCTTCTCCAGGAGCTGCTCCACCATGTGCTGGCCTAGGAATCCTGACCCGCCGATCACTGTACATTTCTTACCCGCCTGCAGAGACAGCGAGAAAAGCACTTCAGCAAGCAGACATACACCCACAAACTGCGTAAGTAAACCGATCTGAACTTCCCGAGATCTTAATGTGCTGGAATTTTGCACAACTAGTTTAACTGAAGGAGTCTAAATTAATATCAAGATATTAATATTATAATATCAAATTAATAATATCAAGATATTATTATTAAGATATCAAAAGACTCTCCAACACGCCTGTGTTATCACAGTAACTTAAAAGCTCAGACACGCTAATGGTCCCCCTAGCTCACAGGCTGGTTTGTATTTGGCAGGACTCTGCCCCATAACCAGGTGGCTCACGTAGTACGGACAAAAAAGAGGACTGGCTCCGACAAACTCTGCCCTGATGGTAAAGCAAACAGAATCTGCTTCAGCCACAGATAATTCAGAATACTAAAACTGTCACCGTTAGCAAGGACAAAACCTTTTTCAGAGCATGTGAAACTTACGCCTCTCCGAGCCAAGAAAGCAATCAGGTAAAGGCAAGGCTTACCCTTTTTAGTTACTCATTAGTTCTTCCTTTCTTTTTTTAAGCTCTTTCAAATCAATGGCTAGAGTCACTAATTAACAGATTCCGGGCTGGTCACTCATCTAACTGGACTGACACTGAAGACCTTGCCGCCAACACAGAACATACAAACAACGAGTCTGAGGAAGCTTTTGTACAAAGAATGCTCTGTCCTGGCTGGAAATAGATTTGCTACACACCCCCCCACCTCTGCAGTTATACTGTCGAGCTGAAGGGAATTTCAACCCAGTGAAACCAAAGACGACAATTGTTCAGAAGTTTCTAAGTGCTACATCCTTAACCAGAGGTTCTACTGCAAAGTGTCAATTATCCACAACAGAAATTAGAAGAGTTCACTGCAGTGGCTCAGTTACATTAAAGCATAACCAATTATTTAGAATGGTGCATGCAAAGTACAATCTGATTAAAATAATTAAAAAAAAGTTCTAATGGGTTGGCCCAGGGGTCTATTTGGTTTTGATAGTTGCAGGAGAGCAGACGATATAGAAAGAATACGTGAGCCTAAGGACTCTCTGCAGTTCACTCTCCTTGTGCTCCCCCACTACAACAGTTTTGCATTTGCTTTACTCGTCAGCTTCCCGATTCTCTAAACTCAGTCACATCCCTCCCCTCTGCGGTGTCCTCGCCCCGTTGAGGGGTCTAGCCTTTTCAGCTCCCCCTCAAAAGGCCGTCGCTCCATTCCATCGATATTTTTACTTGTCTTCCCCTGTACCCTTTCTCATTCCCGTGTGTTCCTCATAAAATGATGAACCGAAGCTTTACAGTGGCAGAAGGACGCCCTCTGTCTGGCTCGAAATATCAGAACCATTTTCTACCAGTACAGATGAGAGCGCCCAGGTTTTTCTGTATGATAGTTTTCCACTCACCCAAGTAAAGGACAGTATTCTAACCGGGGATGAGAAGCAGACTATTTAAGCAATCTTTAGTGCACATTGCTAATGTGCAATACAATCTGGTACACACACCTCTTGGGAAAGTACTACATGAGCCAAGGCAATGACGGGAATCAGTATAACTGCAGCTAACAGTGCTGCACCTGGAGTAATTAGCTGATCTAAAAAATGCAGGTAGAAAGCCAGGCTATGCATGATTATATTGATTTTAGGATGTGAATTACTGCCTATCTAGTGTTGTGCTGTGAAGGTACAACAGCTTGTTCATGCTCTCTAACATGATGCTACATTGGGGGGTTTTTTTGTTTGTTTCTTTGTTTCCTAAATATCCGAGATTCACTGGTCTTCCATAAGCTTCATATGAATTAATGAGAAAATAGTTCAGAAGGCAGAAATTTCTCTATAAACAAGAACCACAGGTAACGCAACAGAGCAGCTTAAGAAATTGTACTCCTAAGAGTAATGTCCAAACATCTCTCTAAGCCAAGGAAAATGTTACTCTTTCCGTATTCTAACCTCCTGCATTCAATGCAGTAATCACCGAAAGAGGTTACAAGGGGCTAGTAGATCTCAGGGACCTCAGCTGGGCCTTTATCTGCACTACAACACGGAATAATGTTATAAGGCACGTAGAAATGATCCTGGAGCAACTAAATCTCCAGACCAATTGATTTGGCAGCACTGACAATGCCACTGGTGTTCTTGGCGGGGTGGAGCATCCCTGGATCTCTTTGGAACTAATTGGCAGCAAATGATTCCTTGGAAAATCACATTTCCCCCACCAATATCTCCAGAGGTAGTATTACTGCAGGAACAGTCTCGTGTCTTCCCTAGCAGTGTTCAGAAGAGCTATCTATGAAAATATGTTTCTGCAAGACAAATCTTCATAACGCATCATTTAAGTCCTCAACTTACCAATCTGAGGCGTGTGGCCATTTCTCAGATGATTCACTATCAACCCGATTCCTTTAAAAAAAGAGAATATTATTTTATTCACAATACAATACTTTACATAAATGTGCCATTAACACAAACCAAACTTTTTTTAAACATGGTTGTAGTTATAGAAATCAAGGTTTGAAGCCTTTATGCTAAAGCAGAAGCATGAAGAGTGAGCTAATTCTCTCTGCCCTGCTAAACAAAATCAGCAATACAAGAGTAACAGTGACATCAAATAGCTTTCTCAAAGGCATAATTTTAATATAACAGAATACCCTTGATAACAAAGGCACCATCTTATTTTAGCCAGTGTTAGCTTCACACACTTCCTTTAAGGCTGAATATTTATACTTCAAATAACATGAACACAATTGCAGGTTTTAGCAATGTCCTCTTCAAAAATAGAGTTGCTCAAGGGTGTTAGGAACAACAAAATAAAACTGAAGTTCAAGCATTTCAGCAGCACCACGCCCGCCTGTTCCACAGCAGCAGACACAGCATGGCAGAAACGCTGGCACTCACTGGTGCCCATCAGCGAAGAGAGGGGAGCCAGTGGTGCGATTTTCCAAGTTTTCACATCACAGGCTGTTGATGCCACCAGTTTCATTAAAATACTCTTCCTCCCAGCAATAGCAAACAAAATTCCCAACTCAGCTGGGATCCTACTGCGGGGGGGGGTATAATTGAAAGACAGAAAAAGACAACATGCCTATTTAGATCTGTTTCCAACATAAAGACAAGCTGCACACAAAGACTTCTGATGGCTTTATAGTCACTTTAAACCATCACTATGATAAACTACTGTGTTAGAGGCTGATTTGATTCTCCTTATTCCTAGTCAGTGCTTCCCACTACCTCCTACAATTCATGTGCTGAGATGGATCAAGGCTATGACTAGCTGAAAATTAATCATTTTCTGCCTGGGTTGGTTTTCAGCCAGATCAGCTCTCTGACCCATCTCACCTCATGAACACCAGTGCCAACACAATTGGATGAGATCCAGGAACAGCTACACCAATGTTGCTATAAAATTATCACAGTGCCATGCCTCACGCAAGCAAATACATCTGTTGGACTGGCTCACTCTGCAAGCTACACCATTTAGCACTCTTCGTTTTTTATTTTTCTGAAAAGTCCTTTGAAATGGCAAGGACAAAACCAAAAAAAAAAGGCAGGATTGGCGCCTATCCAGCCAGGAACACCAAGCTGGTTTGAAAGTACGGGCACAGGGTGATCCACCCTCCAGCTGCCCCCTCTTCCACCCCCAGGTCTCCCTTAACACAGGCCTTACCCCTCTCCAAAATGCCATTTATGAACTGCTCCGCCTCCAGTTTCCCCCCAGCTCTTTCCCAGAGCCCCCCCACTCTCCTCCTGCCCCTTCAGCCGCCCTCCACACCTCCCCAGCTCTCCTCACACCCCTCTACAGCCTGCCCTTCCTCACAGCCCAGCCTTCCTCACAGCCCAGCCCTCCATACCCCCCGGCGCTCCTCACACACCACTACAGCCTGCCCTTCCTCACAGCCCAGCCCTCCTCACACCCCAGCCCTCCTCACCCCCCCCCACCCCTCCTCCCCCC